AAACCAAATTTTCTATTCATTTTTCACATGTGGCAACATATTATATTTATTTATCACCCTTCCTTAAAAATAAAAAAATTATTTGTAATTATAACTCAAATTAAATAATTTCAAATATCTTAAAAGATTTTTCTTTTAGATATTTTTTTTATTAATCTTTTTTCTTTCATATCTTCATCTCTTAATTATCGATCTCCTGCTTCACCCCAAGACTTGTATCACCAAATTAAAATGTAAGTTATGAATTTATTATTATTATTATTATTATTATTATTATTATTATTATTATTATTATTATTATTATTATTATTATTATTATTATTATTATTATTATTATTATATATTCTGCTTTCTTAATTATTATCTATTTGTCAAATGTTTGTTTCATTCTTTCATTCAATTTGGATCTAATCCTCAAAATTAATGTGATTTAATTGATCGGTGTATCTTGGTGTATCTCATTACGATTGGTCTTCAATTAAGATTGATACAAAGATGGAGATCTCATCCTGCTCTTCTCATCATAACTTTCATTCTCATTGTAACTCAACTCATGTTGAAAATGATTATTGATATATGGTTAATGATTGGCCTCTTGACATTGATTTTACTTTGCAACTTGAACCAACCAACCATATTTAAATATCCAATTATAAGTGGATTAGATTGGATCCAAATTCTGAATCGAAATCGGATAGAATAATAAAACTGAACTGAGCTCATCAAATTATCATCCAATATATATATATATATATATATATATATAATTGATATTATTTTTCGATATTGTTTTTTTGTTAATATTTATATGAAGTGTTTTTTAAGATATTAATAATTGGTTGAAATGGTGGATCAATTAGTCTAAAATTGGATCAAAATATTGGATAAATCATTTTCACTTCTTTTTTGCTGTTCATGTTTCAAAATAGTTTTAAGCTACTTTTTTTATCCTAATCTTTACATGTAAAACACAGCTTTAATTATCAATAATGGCCACTACATCCTCTCAACATCGATGGACATATGATGTCTTTGTAAGCTTTGGTGGTGAAGATATCCGTAAAAGCTTCATGGATCATCTCTTCAAAGATTTAAGACAAAAAGGAATTCATGCTTTTAGGGATGATAACRAGTTGCCCCGAGGAGAAGAAATATCTCATCAACTCTACAAAGCCATTGAAGAATCGAGGTTTTTGATAGTTATCTTCTCTAAAAACTATGCATCTTCATCATGGTGTTTGAAGGAACTTGTGAAAATCCTCGAATGCAAGGAGATTGGGAAGCATGAATACCATGTTTGGATAATCTTTTATGATGTCAAGACAGTTGTGGTACGAAATCAAACAGAGAGCTATGCCGAAGCTTTTATCAAACATGAATTAGCAAATAGAACAGAGGTGGCTGAATGGAAGGAAGCTTTATTCATGGCATCCAACTTTTCTGGATGCGATCTCCAGGACATGACAAATGGGTAATTTTCTCTTTAGTACAATCATTAACTTTTTTCCATAGAGATTAACAACACAACCATATGCATCACATTTCATTAAGCAGGTGTTTTTCTCATAAACTCATTATTCGAGTAGCTCTTTCAAAACTCACCCTATATAATTTTGGATATTTTTGGTCAACAGGTATGAATCTAAGCTCATTGATAACATCTCCAAAGAAATACTTGAAAAACTATGTGTTGGACCCTTGCATGTTGGTGAGAACCTAGTAGGGGTGGATGCTCGTATGAAGAAAATGAACTTGTTGCGCTTTGTTCACTCAAATAAGGTTCACATGATTGGAATATGTGGTATTGGTGGAATAGGAAAGACAACGTTCGCCAAAGCCATTTATAACCTCTTGTATATCCATTTTGAGGAATGTAGATTTTTGGATGATGTACAAGGAGCCACAGAACGACATGGACTAACTCATGTTGTAATGCAACTTATTAATGACATTAGGAAAACAACAGATGTGAGGATATCCAACATTGGTCAAGGAATTATGGTAATGATAAAGAGGATGGCAGGTAGACGGATCCTACTTGTTCTAGATGATGTTGATCATCATGATCAATTAGAAGCACTAGCAGGTTCGTTTAATTGGTTTTTTCTAGGAAGTTTGATTATTTTCACTAGTAAAGACAAACAATTACTAGCTAATAAAGTGGATGAAATCTATGACATGGAGTATCTTGATGATGATGAATCTCTTGAGCTTTT